CCGCGGCGGGCCTCCGGGCGGCTGCAGCCATGAGCGAGGTGAGACCCGGACCCGGACCCGGAGCCCACACTGCCCCGGCGGTGTCCAGGGTCTGGGGGCTGCTCTGCAGGAGGGAAGGGGAAGAGGAAGGGGGGGAGCAGCCTTTAACTCACTGCATTGGAGAAAATGAGGGTGGGAGGGACCTGGGGTGGGGGGGGGGTCACATCCAGTGCAACCCCCTGCTCCACTCTGCACCATCCCAGACAAGTCCACCTGGGTTTTAAACGCCTCCAGGGATGGAGAGGCCACCACCTCTCTGGGGAGCTTATTCCAGTGCATCACCCCCCTCCCAAGTTCTGTATCCAACCTCCACTTTCCTTGCTGCAGCCTGAGCCCATTGCTCCAAGTTGCCGTCTGCACCCACTGAGAACCAGTCCTCTTTGCAACCCCCCTGCAGGGAGGTGAAGGCTGCTATTCAATCCCCCTCCCCGGCCACCTCCGTCTTCTTTTCTGCAGACTCAATCAGCCTGGAAAGGTGACCCCTGGCCCCTTCCCCTTGCACCCAGGGGGGTGCAAGGGGGGTTGCAAAGACTTTCAGGCTGCGTCTTTCAAGAGGCAGCGAAAACTATTTCTGATCTAAAAAACGATAACCGTGAGTTTGCCAAGGAGGGTGGAGCTGGGCTGTTCTCAGTGGGGGCAGACGACACAACAAGCAGCAATGGGCTCAGGTTGCGGCAAGGGAAGTGGAGGTTGGATAGTCGGAAATACTTTTGAGAAGGGCAGTAAAGCACTGGAAGGGGTTAGCTAGAGAGGTGGTGGCACCTCCACTCTTGGGGGTGTTTAAAACCTGGGTAGACGGAGCCTGGGCTGGGATGATGTAGTTGGGGCTGGTCCTGCTTGGAGCAGGGGGTTGGGCTGGATGTGACCTCCTGAGCTCCCTTCCCACCCTCATTGTCTGTGATGTGTAGCATGATGAGTCTGGTATTAATGGAGTGCTAATTTCACAAAGACATTTCCTAGACATTTTTACAACATTTCCCAAATATCTAACTTCAGCTTCCCTTATTGCAGCTTGGGGGGGGCACATCAAGTTGCAGTAAGAGACATTGAATTTAGGTATTAAGAAAACATTTCTCATGAGCAGGGGAGTAAAACGCTGGAACAGGTCACCCCAGAGAGGTGGTGGGAATCTCCATCCTAGGAGATTTTGAAGACCAGGCTAGACAAAGCCTTGGTGGGATGGTAGGAATAAACTGCAGGAAATAATTTACCAATCTAAATCCATAAATTAAGATTTTAAGTGTCAAATGATGACACTGATTTAATTAGTCATTGTTTGCTTGCTTGTTAGCATCTTTCAAGATGCAGCTAAAACTATGTAAAAACAGTAACTGGAGTCCAAGATGGGAGTTATGTTGTATTTAGAAAAGAATCGGTTAGGGATATTGGGATGAGCTAACAGCAGTGTGGACAAGTGCAAGGTGCTGTACCTCGGGGAGGAATAATCCAAAGCACAAATACAACAGGGGGACACCTGGCTGGATGGCAGCACTATGAAAAAAAAGACTTGGGAGTCTTGGTAGACCACAGACTCAATACGAGTCTGCAGCGGGATGCAGCCGCACAAAAGGCAAATGTGGTTTTGGGATGCAAAAAATAAAAAAAATGGATCCTGTCCAACAGCTTTTGGCCAATACAAGATCATTCCCTACATTATATGCTACAACGTTCCCTCAGCTGAAGTTTAAAGAGCTAATTAATGGACCTTCCACTCCCGCGCTTCAGATGCTATTTCATACTGTGCTGCTTATATTTCCTTTCCTAAATTTCATCCCACGATTCCTACATGGAGGATTAGGAGCCTGTCTTCTAGTTTAGCTTGGCATTGATCTGCCTTGAAAATTTACCTGTTTTTTTTACCGTATGCCACCCTGAGCCTCTTGTAGGACAGGCGGTGTGTAAATCTAATAAAGTTTGGATCCAAATCTGAACTTTTCTAAAATTTGGAGGGTGGGTGAGAACCTGGTGTTCCCGTTTCTAATGTCAGGTTCCCATTTCTAACATCAGGTTGTCCAGGTATCTTGAGAAATATATGATCCTCTCAAGCCCTTAGGCTTGATAAAAGAGATGAATCCTGTTGGTCTTATTCACTGAGTTTTCTCATTTAAGTGAGGGTTTGGGGGAAGGCAAGCTGAATGAGTGGTCTGAGTGATTTGAACTGGCAACCCATGTACCCGAGGTTTGGAATTGCAGCGTGTTGGTGCCTTCTACGCTGCAGACATACCTGAGCTGCCTTTAACCCCCTTAGCTTGGGGCAGTGGCAGCAGTCTAATTTCAGCAGCTCCAACTATTAAAAGGGCAAGTTATTTCACTGACATTAGTAGCTATCTATTTGAAAAACACATGTGAATTCATGTGGTAAAGAGGCAGCTGCTTGTAGCGAAATTTTACTCATGGTTATTTCCTGTAGAGCTGTCATACATTCATTAATATATTGCTCTTATTTTTTCTGATCTGTGACCCTACCTAAGATTCGAACTCCTTTTGCTAATTGATTATCCATCTCATCTCATGCAGGAAAGGTATGACAAGCTGTGCGTAGAAGAAAATGCCTTTGAAGCACTGGAAAAAGACTTCCAAGAAGTCCTCGATGAACTCACGGGGGATAAAAGTTTGGAGAAATTCCGGATTGAATATGAGAAGCTCCACGCGGTTATGAGGAAATCCTATGAAAATGAAAGGCGTCTCATGACAAAATGCAGGGAGCTGAACGCTGAGATCGTGGTGAATTCGGCTAAAGTGGCTACAGCTCTAAAGCTGTCTCAGGATGATCAAGCAACAATATCATCGCTTAAAAGGGTAAAGTATTTTTAATATATATATATATGTATATAGCTAACTGTAAGGAGGAAATACTTGCTAGAAGAAATGGTTGTGAACCAGGGAAGAGCTTTCTTATAAATGCCATTCTGTTATAGAGAAATGGGTGTTCAAGTGGACTCTGTGTGCAGTTGGGAACTGAGTCCTGCTATCTTCTAATTTCTACTCTATTCCTGACTCTTTTTTGTTGCCTTAGCACATCTCTTAACCTTTGTCAGTCATTTTCTGCACTCATTTATACCAAGATAATATATCTGGACTCGCTTCACTTATTTCTAAGTGGTTACCACATCTCTGTATTTAAGCTTTCCCCATCTCTAAAATATTGATCGCGTTACATACTTTACAGGGACTCTTTGGAATGAATTAGTGAATATTCCTGAGGAGCTATATACATGTTAAATATTACCAGAACCTGAAAACTTCACTTGCTTGTTGCAAATACGACTCTTGCTTGGCGAAGCATCATCCGTTTCTGTAAGATGTCATCTTACAATAAAGTTTGTTGTCCTTATAATTGCAAACCCCCTCCCTCCCCACTTCGAGTTGTGATCTCAGTATAAACCAGGGACCGTGCATTCATATGAAGTCTGCAGAAATACCACTGCTGTGGTCCAGAGTCGACTTAACCTGCAGCCAAATGAAAACTTTCTAAAATCTTGCTGGTTTTCAGTAGTGCTAATCAGAAATTTGCAGGGCAATGATGAAATAGATTTGACTTTGGCATGATTTTTGTCAGCTTAAGAGACCTTAAGGTGGGATGGGTGCTTGGCAGTACGTTGCTGCTTCAAAGGTGTTCATTAAAAAGCATGTGAATACTCTGTTTTAAAGTCCAGGGGTTTGGCTTTTGTTTGGTTGCATAGTCCCATTTTGGCTATGCTGTTTTAGACATGACCATAATAATGTCAAAATTGTTCTAGTCATGCCTTTGAGAAGCTCTTCTGTTACTATAGATTATTTTCAGCACTCCTGCAGTCTCCTGCTGTTTTCCTATCTGGAAAGGAGTCTCATGCCAACTGTAATCTTTTACTGTAATTTGCTAACTGGTTGCTTTGAAAATAAATGGTGCATGTGCATAATGCATGTTGCTGAATGGGTTCAGACACCAATGTGACATTTGGTCTTTACTCAATTAAAACAAACAACAAATTAGATTCCAGCGTTTCATTGCGTGTTAAAGAAAGGAGAATTACATCTCTCATTTTGAAGACATTTTATCCCAATGGTAACGCTGATGGTAGGATGGGTCATTGAGGTAATGGGTTCAGAACTTGTGCCTTCTACATTTACTGGTTTGAATCCCAAAGAAGGCTGAATCCTAAAAAGGCAGAAACTTTTCTATGGCCAAGTCCTTTTAAAAGAAATCTTTGCTCTGAGGCAGGAGGCTGACTATACGGAACAGATACTCGGGAGAGGAGACCAGCTCGATAGCAATCAATAGTCTTTACCATTTGATAGCTATCCAGTGCTTCATTTTGTAGTTTCAGTCCATTTTCTTGTGAGCACTTCATGTAACAACCCCTTGTTGATAGTCACATTAGAGAAGCTAACTGCTGGCTTGAACCACAAAGGATGAACTCCTTTCTTACCGATAACAATGTCACTCAGCCAGGTGAGGGCAGAGGGACATTAGCAGAACAACGTGCAGGAGTTTGTGCTGGACTTGCTGCGGCGAACAACAGGATCTCGCTCTCCAGGCCATCAATCCAACACCACTTGCCAGCACGGTATTCGCGTTCAGTCTTTGAAAAACCAAATTGCTGCGATTGCTTCCCTTAGTTAAGGAACAATAAAACGAGGCAGCCACAATTTATGAACTGTCTGCTTGGCGCTTTACAGAAATCTTTCCCACAAATTTTTCTGAACATTTATTATTACAAACAGCATGTGTCTGTCTGTCTCAGGAGTTAATTATACAATAGACTGCAGCACATTTTTAAGTGCCAAGCTATATGCTGTAATTATCTAAAAGATTCTGACAGATGCTGCATTCCT